GCCTGGAAGATCGTAGCTGTTAGGGTTAACCGTCTTAGCCTTAACTCCTATACACCCTTACCGAAAGCCGTGCTGAAAGAACTGCCAGACGTTATTTCTATCACAAAATCTTTGTATAGCATGCAGGTAAAACTTCCCATATATCCTGCTACCTACTACAAGTAACAGAACGTTTAAAAATTTACTTACTTCACTGCAGGCAAACACCATGCCCTGCCAAATTCGACTGAGATCACGCAAATTGAAGATATAATGAAACTTCATCGGGGTTGGCAGCATTCGCGACTTCACGGAAGCCCAGACAAGGCGTGTCATTGGAACCAGGGCCTTCACCATCTCCCGAATGTCGTCACTAAAGCCACGTTCTTTCGAGAAATGTCCAAGGCCGATAGTCTGATAGATGTGATCCATAGAATCACTACCGGGAAGGTTGCATATAAACACACAGAACTGGCGTTTCAGGCGCATTGGAATATCATTTCTGCCACCGCCGGGAGTGCCCATAGCCGCAGCGAACTACAAAATGGCAAAAGGAACCTCTAAAGGAGCACAGACTTTCTGCTGACGCATTCCTTTTTTTGAACTAAGGGAGACAATGTTACCTGGATATCAACTATGTTGATAAACTCGCCAGGTTTCTCGAGACTATAGAATCCACCACTCTCCATGGTTTGACGCACAATTTCATTCGCCACCTGGTCTCCCCATTCGTTCACAATCGGCATGCTGATATCGTCCAAAAACACTGTCATCCGCTTTCCCGGTGGCGGACCAAAGGTGAACCCGACACGTTTGTCAACGAAACCCTCCATCGCAGTCTGAAGGGATAAATAATTTAATTCAACAAAAGTACCCTGAAATAGCAACTGTTTTGCTTAAATTTGCTCTCTCTAGACCTTAGCAGACTGATGAGATTCATGGTCTCGGCGGGATTCGAACCCACGTCAGCAGAGCCGATTTAAATGCGTTTAAATGCGTCGATTTAAATGGGGTGATAGAGTGATTGGCTGATTAAACTCACGGCTCTTGGCGTGCCTTTTTATGTCAGTGGATAGAGTATGAGCTGTACAGTAGTCGCCAAAGACCATGCAACTTTCGTGATGAAATTTGACTTGGTACTTAAGCGCATATTAAGGAACACTATTTTGATTTATTCAGTTTATTGAATCCTGCGAAAGCCTTTTACTTAGTTAAATCGTCATTTTAGTAAGGTTTATTCAGAGAAATGGTCATTAATTTTGGGGAAATTGGAGCAGTCTTATATTGAAGGAATTTTCTATGCTATTACGAAAGAGAAAACCAAGCTGCACGTTAATGTTGATGATACTAAGAATGAACTCCAAAAGAAGTAAAATGTGTGTAGAAGATATCCCTTCCAGAAGTGGAAAAGTTTGTCCAAAATTGTTCAAATTCAAGTGAAGCCAAGTTAAAGGAATCACATTAATTTGCAGTAACATTGAAGATTTGCATTTTAAAAATTATGTTTAGCTATCCTGTGAAGTTTTTTTTTGCACAAAATGCAGTAACAGAAGCGTGTTTGTGTGAATGCACAAATAACGCACAGTTTGCCCTTGCACAAAAACAAAATGTCGAATATGTTAATGCAAATTTAAGACAATGAAGGCCTTGTTGAATGTAAGTCGTGTAGGAATATAGTTTTTTGTGTACTTTACGTTCCCCTTTTGCGTTATTTAGAAACGGAACAGACAGAAGAATAATAAGTATTTCAAAAAATGGTCATATATGTGGCCTGTTTTTTTGCATTTGGAAGCTTATAACGGATCGTGGAATTAATCCCCTGAAGCGGAAAATAATCCGTTATAAAGAGAAAAGAAAGTTCTTTCATCTCCAGTCAAGTTGAATCGTTTATTTTCAGGAAACATAAAGAAATTCTCGAAATTCTCAAATTTCATTGTGATATTACGTTGGAAAACGTTAATATACGCAGAAGTTCGTCAGCCGAATATCTAATCCAAGCACTTTCAAAGAGGTAACCTTTTATGGAAAGTTTTTTTTTATTAATCTTAAGAATAGTAGCTTCACAACTCCTCTGCGGACAAGATTCACTCTCGACAATGTGGTTTGCTGTTTTGAGGCATTTC